ATGCCCCTATAGCCCTAAACTGTCTATTATCATAAATAAAATGCTTCACTTTATGGTGAACCAACCTAAAGATCCATGCTTCAATAAAGACAATGTCAACAAAGAATTCTGATGTTAGATTTTTCAAGCCACGTGAGCTTTACATGAAATCATAAACCAAATCCTTCCAGTCCATACCTAGATTCTAAAATAAACATAAATGGCAATTTTTAATATTTAGTACAACACAATAGCACTTTGCAAATAACACAAACCAAGAGATCTTCCTAGTCCCACCTGTGGGCATAACATGGTCCTGGTGCAAGGAATGAAATGGGACCACAGACCAATCCACACTCCCACTTAATCTGCTCCAAAATCCAGTGTGTAAACCAGTTCCCAAGCCTTGAGAACTGGAGTATAACACATAAGGAACCTGGTTCCAAACAGCCAAAATCGCCAATTCTTAGAATCATAGACCCATTAAAGTTGGAAAAGACCTTTAACACTGAGTTGAACTGTTAACCCAGCACTGGCAAGGCCACCACTGAACCATGTCCCTAAGCACCACATCTACATGTCCTTTAAATGTCCTTTAAATACATGTCCAGGGATGGTGACTCCACCACTTTGCTGTACAGCTTGTACCACGCCTGACAACTCTTTCAGTGAAGAAATTTTTCATAATATCCAATCTCAACCTCACCTGCCACATTTTGAGGCCATTTCTTCTTGTTCTACAGTTTGATTACTCAGAAGAGACAGATCCCCATCTCACTACAACCTCTATTCAGGTGGTTGTAGAGACCAATAAGGACTCCCATGAAACTCCTTTTCTTCAGGATAAACAGTCCAAGTTCCCTGAGCTTCTCACCTCCTTATCATACCTGCAATACTCTTACATCATGTTTATCTGCTTCTGGCACCACAGTGGTCTGAACAATAATGGTGTTTGTTACATATTTCTATTCAGCCACATAAAAAGAAAAACACATTTCATTTTTAGGAACCTTTTAAACAAAGATACCAGAAAAAACAGAGGTCATTCCGTGACCAATAAGTCAACACATTGGCTTGGTCAAAATTATGTGACAGACCTTTGGCTGACCTGGAAACTTACTGTAACAGTCCTGCCTCCTGCAGCTGCAAACTCACTGTACTGTTCTGGAGAACCATATGTGTGCTTTCAATCCTTGAAAAGAGATAAAGGACCTATTCAGTGAAATAGCAGGAAGAAAAAACATGAGGTTATTAAAGAATATAATAGCTTAATGTTTGAGCAAGCGGTTTTAAAATATTGTAATAAGAGTTTTGCCCACTGAACAAACAAAAATGCAAGATCTAAACACTCCTATTTTTTAAGATAATTTTATTTGTTCTGATATGTCAATAGAAGGGTGATAGTTCAATCTAAAATGCATGTGCAGCTAGTGTGTTGCCAGGGAATTAATTTATTTTAAAGTCTGTAGATACAATGAGACACTTCACCTGACTTCTCTTGCCAGCCAAGAGACCAGCATAATCAGAGAAGCTGCTTTCACAATTGTATTTATTTCCTTTGAATAATGTATGTAATCATGACTACAGTGGAATCCCATGAGGCATTTCACCTACAAACTGTGCACCAGCTTTTCTCTTCCTCGCTGGTAGATTCACAAGTGATATTGTCATTTGCCCTTTCCAGATTACAGGAAGTTCTTCCATACATTTTTTTCCATTTCAACAACAGGACAAGGGGACATGGGCTCAAGCTCTGCCAGGGGAGGTTTAGGTTAGATGTTAGGAAGAATTCTTTACGGAGAGGGTGATCAGGCATTGGAACAGCCTACCCAGAGAGGTGGTGGATTCAGCATCCCTGGAGGTTTTTAAGCAGAGATTGGATGTGGCCCTTAGTGCCATGATATAGTAACTGGAGTTGGATCAGGGGTTGAACTTGATGATCTTGAAGGTCTTTTCCAACCCAATCTATTCTATGATTCGAGGATTCGAGGATTCGCCCTCCTCTTTGCAGCCGAGAAGAACACGCAACTCTCTGTGGAGGGCTGTAGAGTCGAAAGGATGCAAGGGGAAAAAGACTCCCACTCAAATAGCACACAAGAAGCTGAAAACAAGGCACATGGAGGAAGTGTGCCAAGAGAGAAAGATTCTGGTGTCTAGTCTGTTGAATTGCAAACTTCTAAGCATTGGCAGTCTCTTTCGACTTTGAAGCCTTTTCACTTGGCACATATGACAACGAGCTGCACGTTCATCTCAGCTAGACGTACTCTGTAGCGCTTACAGACAAGCGCTTAGCCGCAAGTCGAGAGTGTCCGCTTCAGCCGCAGCAGAGTGAGACGAGCCAGGCAAAGCCATCTTGCTGGGAGCTCAATACTGCAGAGAAGAGGCAGTCTAAGAGGTTCCTGGAGTGTATAGAGGACAATTTCCTTCATCAACTGGTAAATGAACCTACCAGGGGTAAGGCCCCGCTAGACCTGCTGTTTAGAAACAGAGAGGGGCTGGTGGGAGACGTAGTGGTTGAAGGCCGCCTGGGAAATTGTGACCACGAAATAATAGAATTTTCAATACTCAGAGATTTCGGGCGAACCAACAATAAAACCTCTACGCTGGACTTGCGGAGGGCAGATTTTGACCTATTCAGAAGTCTAGTCCAGAGCATACCCTGGGAAACAACCCTTGAAAACAAGGGGGTTCAGGAGGGATGGATGTGCTTCAAGCAGGAAGTTTTGAGAGCACAGGAAGAGGCTGTAGCGGGTGTGCCGAAAGGCAAGCCGGCGGGGAAGACAACCAGCTTGGTTAAACAGGGGGATTCTGAAGGAAATCAGGGATAAAAAGAGAGTTTACCAACTCTGGAAGAAAGGGCTGACTACTTATGAAGAATTCAGGAAGACAGCTAGATCATGCAGAAAGAAAATCAGGGATGCAAAAGTGCAATTTGAGTT